CAGACTTAGCCATGTGGCCACCCCCTACTGCAAGGGAGGCAGGGCAGAGTAGGATCTAGCCAGCAGCCAGGAGTCCTGCTGACACTCAGTGTGGGGGTGGCAGAGTCGTATTACTAAAAGGAAGAAGAGGAGACTGTATACTCAGAGCCCATGGTCTCTGCCACACCTACAAAATACAGTTCTGTGGGCACAGGTCAGGTGACCAAGATTAACAAGTAATTGCACCACATCTCCAGCTGCAGCTCAAGAATGGACAGGCATTAAAAGCACAATAGCAAGAAGGACTATCTTGCTAGGAGACTATCTTGGTGGGGGGAAAAAAGCCTTAGATTATTTGTCACACGGTTCAGAAATCAGTTTTGTAACATTGCTGTGTTATTTACCATTACATTTTTTTCCCCATGCTTTATTTATTTGTTTGTTTGTTTGTTTGTTTATACAAGCACTGGGTACAGTCAGAAGCGCGGGAGGGTGAGAGAATTCACCAGAGCCAGAGCAGGGAGCAGAGCAGGCAGAAGGACCGAAGTACACTGCTGAGGGGAGCAGCGGGCGGCAGGAGAGGTCTGCGTGCCATATGGGACCCTCCTCCAGTGGCCGGGGAGCAGCCAGGGATCGAACCGGCACTGCAGAGGGTGACAGGCAGCTTCACAACACAGCGCTCAACCACTGTGCCACCGGGGAGGCCCCCATTACGTTTTTTTAAAGATTCATTTATTTATGCATACAAGAACTGGGGTACAGGCCAGAGGTGCAGGGGGGTGTGAGAGGATTCAGAGAGAGCAGGAAACAGAAAAGACTGACTGAAATACACTGCTGAAGGAAGCAGCAGACAGGAGAGGTCTGCTGCACCATGTGGGTAGCTCCCTGGCCAGCCAGGGATTGAACTTATGCGGCAGTAGCTGCGGATAGCTTAACCCCTTGTGCCACCAGAGAGGCCCGCCATTACATTTTTTTTAAAAAAACTTATGATCTAGGTTCTCCCTGGTGGCGCAGGGGTTAAAGACACAGCACCATCAAGCTATTGCAGCCACCCAGGCATGAATTAGATCCTCAGCCCGCCAAGGAACTGACGACCCACATGGGGCAGCAGACCTCTCCTGTCACACCCGCTGCTCCCCTCAGCAGTGTATTTCAATCAGTCTGCCTGTTCTGTTCCCCACTCTGTCTCTGGTGAGTCCCCTCACCTCCCATACCTCTGGCCTACAACACATCAGTTCTTGTACATATAAATAAATAAATCTTTAAAAAAAAACTTATTGATTTAGGCAATGCACTGGGCCATGGAGAAACAGAAGTAAACAATGATCCTTATCTCACAGAATTGAGACTAGTGAAGGGAGACAAACAAGGGGATGGTAACGTCAATGCTATGACTAGTGAAGTCAGAGAGTACTGGGTGGGGACTAAGGAAGGCTTTTTCTTTTATTTGTTTTTAAAGATTTGTTTATTTATGCATACAAGAATTGGGGTACAGGCCAGAGGTGCGGGGGGTGAGAGGATTCACCAGAGACAGAGTGGGGAGCAGAACAGGCAGACTGATTGAAATACACTGTTGAGGGGAGCAGCGGGAGAGACAGCAGAGTTCTGCTGCGCCATGTGGGTTTCTCTGCGGATCGCTTCACAGTGCAGTGCTTAACCCCTTGCACCACCAGGGAGGCCCCTAAGGAAGGCTGTAATGTATGTCCTAAACACTGACCCATAAAGCAGATTGAGAGCACATCAAACTTTAAATAGATTTCAGATTCATCAGACAGACTGAGGCTTTAATATTCACAGTCAAGCGCTGTGGCAGGTGATTGCACATACAGTATATTAGTTTAATTCTCCCAACAAATCTATGCAGAAGGTATTACCTCCATTTTACACATGAAGATACTGAGCCCCAGGGAGGTTAAGTAACCTGCCAGTGTCACCTCTCTCTTAAGTGGGGGACACCCAGGTCTTCTTTCCAATGTATCATACACTTTTCCCATGCAGAGTCAAAGCACATTAACCAAAAACAAATGTTAACATTAGAAAGTCTACGGAATTTGCTTTCAGAAAACATTTATAGTTGCTTCTATCATATGTACATCCAAATGTATTCAATTTCTAAGTTGCACAAGGACTTTATAAATACCCTGTATAATTAAGTGCCAGACTGTGTAGTCCAGACTATGAGTGCAAGAATTCAGAAGGGGGGACATTACTGAGAGCTAGAATGAAGCGAAGAAGCGTCTGCAGGGCTGGGTGGGCCTTGCTGAGTGATACCGATGCCGGTGCATTCCAGACTCTGGAATCATGGGAGCAAAGCTGGAGCTAACTATATTGGGCATCTTAGATGGTCCTGAAACACTGAGGCTCAAGTGGCTGGAATACACTGGCAAGGGCATATTGGCAAGAAGCTTTTTCTGGTTCTCATAGATGGGAGAAGGGGAAGCATCGATGTCACTTTATCCCCTTTTCAGTGGCCCTCCTGACTGTGGCCCTACCACCCCTTTTCTAGGAAAAAGATGAATTCCGGCATTCCCATGCTCTCCCCTCCTCCAGAATGATCCTGTTGGCACTTTGCATATTGAGAAGTAGATCTGATCTTCCTAAGGCTGGTCTGGGGGCTGTGCCAACGGACAGATAACGATCCTTATTCCATTAAAGCTTCCAGTCTGATGGGGACACAAACCCACAATTCAGAGCACAGACTGCGGCAAATTTAACCCAAAATAAAAGCATCATGATTCCCTAAGAGGGAGGTGCCAATCCCTATACCATGGGGAGGTGACAAGATTTACATGGGACCAAATACCAGGCGTGTGTGAGATGGTCCTGGGCTGGGTGAGGTTATTTATGCCCCCACACCCTTGTGGTCACCACAGAACAGCCACTTGGAACAGGGCCAGTGGGAGGGGGACATTTCCTTGAGAGGAACCACTCCTCTCTTCTCTCCCCACAAATGAGCACTGAGTGGGAAATTGACTAAAGGAAAAGGTAGGAGGTGGTGTTAGAGCCGCCAGGACCCAGCAACCTGGCCCCATGCCAGCGGAAAACACCATTGTCTGAGCTGCTTTTTCAACTTCCTGCCCTCAAACACAAAGCCCACCCAGCATGCACCCCCAAGCTCATGCCCCCAGCACCACCTCCTCCTCCACTGTGGCTGAAACACTACTGAGCACTGACCACTACAGCAGGCCACGAAGTTTCTCCTAGCGGGAGAGGTCAGGTGGCCAGACCTGTTCCCAGGGGAGAAAGACAGAGGAGCTCTGGCCTGTGAGATCCCTAAAGGATGAGGTTTCTGGATCTCTCTCAATCCCCCTCCCTTCTCCTAGTGCAGCTCTCTGAGGAACTGGGGTTTCTGGCAAAAGTGAACAATGACTAGATGGGGGGATACAGAAGGGTGTGGGTGTCTGTAGGAGTCTGTGTCATTCAGTGGTTTGATTTGTGGGAGAGAATTCAGCCGACAGAGTGACGGAGTGAGGCTGTGTGTGTGCCCCAAGGGGGATGAGGGGCCCATAACCCAGTTCTGTAAAGATCTCCAGGCTCTGGCCTCCCTAGCGGTGCAGGGGTTAAGTCTCAGCACCATCATGCTATTGCCACCACTGCCTGAGTTCGATCCCCCACCAGGAAGGTGACTCACATGGCACAGCAGACCTCTCCTGTCTCGCCCGCTGTTCCCCTCCGCAGTGCATTTCAGTGGATCTGCCTGTTCTGCTCCCCACTCTGTCTCTGGTGACTCCTCTCACCACCACCCCAACGTCTGACTTACACCTCAGCCCTTGTATGCATAAATATTTTTTTTCAATCTCCAGGCTCCCTGCCCTCTCAACCCTGACCCTGAGCCCATTTCATGACCCTGAAGAGACCAGATTTGCATTCCCAGCTGATTCCCATTCCCAACCAAGGCCTTCCCGCTCCTTGGTCCCTCCCCCAGCCCCACACTCACTCCTCTGGCAGGATAGCTGGGCGTTTGGCTGGGAGCTGAGCTCAAAGCGGAAACGGGCAGCTGGGAGGTGTGATTTATGTCTCTGACTTCACCCTAGGCTGGAGCCAAACACATGGACCCTTCCCCCAAGTGCCCTTTTGGCAAATCTCCTCAAAAAGTCTCAGGCTCTTGTAAGAGATCAGAGGTCATCCAAGCAAACCACCCCATTCCTCTCCATCACCCCCATGACCAACCGCTCAGCCCACACCTCCTGCTGACTGGTGATGGAAGAATGCCTTAACTTTACAATCGGCAGCAGGAGGCAAGATTTCCTTATCAGCACCAAACAATAGGGAAGTCCCTCTTTATATCTAATTTCCTTCTCTCCTGCTGTTCAGTCCCTAGCTGGTGGCAACAAAGGGCAGCTGACTTCTTGGGAACTCTACCTCCGGCCTCTCAAGGTCAGTGAGCAGATTTAAGGTAATCTCCGATCCCCTGATTGTTTCTCTCTAAAGACTTCTCAGATATCAGGTGCCATGGCTCCATGTGTCCCTCAGGCTTACCTTCATGTCCCAGTGTGTTGAGGGCTGGGAGGCACATTCAGCTAAGCCAGGCCTAAAACCCAGAGCCACAGGAGATCCCACTAGTTAAAAAAGTCCTAGAAATCTGGGGCCTCCTGGTGGCGCAAGGGGTTAAGACACAACCTATGAAGTTGTCACCAGCCTCTGTAGCACGAGTTCAATCCCCAACCAGGGAGATACCCACATGGCGCAACAGACCTCTCCCAACTTGCCCGCGGCTCCCCTCAGCAGTGGATTTCAGTCAATCTGCCTGTTCTGCTCCCCATTCTGTCTCTGGTGACTCCTCTCACACCCCCACCCCTCTGGCCTGTACCCCATTTCTTGTATGCATAAAAAAAATCCTAGAAATCTAATTTCCCCTTTTCCAGCTTTTTCAAATTCTTCATCAGTCTAAAGTTATTAACATTAGCGGGTTATCGGGGAGATTAAGATAGGAAAACCCATTGGAAAGTTATAAAATGCTGCTTCATGGGATTATTTTGAGGTGAAGTAAGGTAATACATGTCAAATGCTGGGATCTTTACCTGGTTGTAGCGGCAGGAAGGCACAGAGCAGGATCTCTATGATCCGGGCAGACCAGTAAAGGAGAGTCCTGGAGCCCTCCGTGGCTTTTCAGGCTTTTATTGAGCTTTTACCAGGTATGGGGCAGGCAGGGGTGCCGGCCTGCCAGCCTCCCAGCCCCTGGCAATTCTTCACTCCTTCTGGGCTCTCCGGCATTCTCTCGTGGTCTCTGCTGCTCTGCTGGCTCTGCTCTTGTTCTGCTGCTTCCCCTGGCGTCCCTGTGACGCCGCCCCTATAAGCCCAGTCTCAGCCCAGGTGTGCCCACCTATGCACGCCCACACCCTGCTCCAGGTGTCCGCCATCAGGCATGCGTGTAGGATGGCAGAGATCCATCATTAATGCTAATGGAGGGAGGGTGGAAATGCCTGATACTTTTTCACTTACCCTACACTGGTACTTGATAACAACTCATTTTTCCCATAATACGCCAAAAATTGGGAGCTTGCCTTTATTAGACACCCAGAGCTCATGCTGTCTCTCATTCTAGCCCCCTTGGGTGGAAGCTGAGAGTCCTGGCTCTTCATTTTAGGAGGTACACAGTTAATGAATGAATGGGTCCATCTTCCCTTCATTTCTCTGGGGTCTGGCCTGATCTGGCTTCCTGCCCACCACCCCCTGCTGAATTTTCCCCCAGAGGCCTGAGTTCATCTTAGTTACCAAGTGTTTGTTTCTTCCTGGCCCCACAGGAGGGCTCCAGCCCCTCACTGCTCTCCCCACTGTGTTCCTATGTGGGCATCTGCATGAACCAGAGATAAACCTCAGGGATCATCTAGTTCAAGGCCTTTGATTTAGGGAAGACAAAACCGAGAGCCACAGCAGGGCGGTCTCGCTCAAGCTGAACTTTTAAGTCAAATACCTGGATCTATTCCCAGGGGTCCCTGTCTGCCTTCAGGGCTAGAAGAATTCTCACCCCTTTTTCCTTTCTGCCCTTCAGTAGTGGTTAAAACAAATCACTCTTGTTAACTGCCTGGGACATAAGCAGAGGCTGGGAAAGAGCTTGAGGAAGTCCCTCCACGCACACCTGTGATTTCGTCTTCATTGTCCCAGCTCTTCCCTAAATCCAGCCCAGTCTTCATCCCCCCAATCCACCCCCCACCCCCACCTCCAGTCACACTTATGCGGCTTTTGTGCTAATCCGCAGGTCAGCTGCATGTCATTCAACTTAAAAAATGCTTAAAAAATGTTTGTTAGGGGCTTCCCTGGTGGCGCAAGGGGTTAAGATGCAGCGCTGTGAAGCTATCAGCAGCCACTGCAGCAGGAGTTCGATCCCTGGCCAGGGGGCTACCCACATGGCACAGCAGACCTCTCCTGACTCACCTGCTGCTTCCCTGAGCAGTGTATTTCAGTCAGTCTGCCTGTTCTGCTCCCCAATCTGTCTGGTGAGTCCTCTCACCCCCTGCACCTCTGGCCTGTACCCCAGTTCTTGTATGTATAAATGGATAAATCTTTAAAAAAAAAGGTTTTTTAAAAAATGGATCACTGACACTCTGGGAGCTTTACATCTGAATCCATGCAAACAAGGGCCCATCGTGGGGCATGTTCGACTGGCAGCTTCCGTGAGCATCACCACCCCATAAACCACTTGGGTAGCCCTATGCCTCCACCAGTGAGGTGCAGGCATTCCAAAGCCAGTGCCAGGGGGTGGTGTCTCCTAAAATGAAGCCAGATTGGTTGGGTTTGAATCCTTGTTCTTCCACTTACCCGGGGCAAATTAACTTCTCTGTGCCTCAGTTCCCTCATCTTACCAGACAGAACAATAACACCCCCTCATAGAGCGGCAGTGTCAAGGCAATGAGTTACTACACGGGAAGTTCTTATAAGCCACAGTTGCTATTATGACATGCACGAGTGTGGTATGTTCAGTGTGTAGTGTCTGTATGACGGCATACACACAGGATAGCTGGCAGCTCCTGGCCGCTGTGCCTCCATCCCAGCCCTGCAGACGGGTCACGTGGCCCCGTCGCCCTAGTCTTTCTGGGACCGCATTGTCCTTCCTCAAACCTGCCCATCTGGCCCCTGTGCAGTCTTGCCCTTGCGGCCCCTTCTCTCCTGTGGGTGTGGAGGCAGGAAGGAAGAAGGGAGGGAAAGTGTAGCCATTTTAGGGCAGAGGCGCTGTTAGAGGGGAGAGGGAGTGGACGCAGCAGGGGAGTGGACCCAGCGTGGGGCGGCTCCTTATTGGGAAAGGCCCCGGTGACACAGTCTTAGGCCGGGCACAGAGCCAAGTCCAAAGAGCAGGCCCCAGGCCCTCATCCCGGCCCTGGAACCAGCACCAAGAAGGGACGAGGTGCTCGGGGCTTTGGGCCCTTCCCTGCAGTGGCAGCACAGACCTCTACCCCAAAGTCACCCCTTCTGCCCAGCCCCTGAGGCCATGACCCGAGGCCCTCTTCCAGTGGACGCGTGCCGGGGGCGGGGGGGGGGCCTCTGCTGGGGCTGACTCCAGGACACTGTCCATCACCCACACCCCCACCATACCCCAGGTCCAGACTGTGAGCCACTCCTGCAGGAATTCAACTATTTCTGGGGAGACAACGGCTGGAAGAGGGGCCCAAGCGTGAGTAACGGCTCCCACGGGGATGGGGTGCCCATGACTAATCAATGAGAGGGTGAGAAAGGAAACTTACATTCCTTGACTTGTAGGGCAGTGCATGGAGGTGGGAGGTGGGGCAGGGGCAGACTGAGACCAGGACGGCCAAGTAGGGGCATGAGAGGGAGCCGGCCTGGGTGAGGGTGCATGTCCCTCCAGCCAGCCATGATCTCCTGACAACCCCGTCCCAGGCTGCAGAAGAGGCAGACCCCAGGTAACCAAACTCCTGGACCGCCCCCCTTCAGAGCCTTCCCATCAGCCGGCAAATGAGCCCCTCCCCCAGTCAACGGACAGAGTTGCTGACCTTGAATGGGTTGAGGAGGGCACCCTGGCACCTCATCTGCATTCCTCAGCCCACAGCCCCACTCTCCTAGGGGTCCCCATGCCCAGAAGCCCAGCTTGGAAAAACTCCTCTATGCCAGGGCAAGAACTACGCTAAGGGCACGAAGACAGAAGGGAGCTGGGAGCCAAGGTGCCTTGGGAGGAAGGAAGCGGCCTGCAGCCACAGAGGAATCAGGAAAGAGAGGGAACTAACGGCCAAGTGCTTCCTGCCCGCCCGCCTCCCCACCTACCATTCCCCACCAACCCCCTCCAGCCAGGGAGGAAAGGGGTGCAGAGGCCCACAGCAGACACCCTCTAAAATTTCCAGCTCAGCAGCTCGTATGACAGCGGGTCAGACAGCCCCTGCGCCCTCTGCCGCTGGTGCCCCACCCCGCCCCCTTGCCCAGTTTCTTTCTTAAAGATTTATTTTTATTTATTTATGCATACAAGAGCTGGGGTGCAGGCCAGGGGTGCTAGGGGTGAGAGGAGTCACCAGAGACAGAGTGGGGAACAGAACAGGCAGACTGACGAAATACACTGCTGAGGGGAGCCGCCGGCGCGGCAGGAGAGGTCTGCTGAGCCACATGGGTCACCTCCCTGGCCGGCCAGGCTGGTGACAGCTTGATAGCGCCGCCCTTAACCCCTGTGCCACCAGGGAGGCCCCGCCTTGCCCAATTTCTTCCATGGAGTGAAAAGCAATCCATTCACCTCTCTGTTCTGCGACCTGCTTCTCAGGCCCTCCAGTTACCTGTGGTTGAAAGAGAAGGTCATGGACTAGAGTACACAAGGTGGGAGAGAAAGGGGGTACTAAAAACAGGTGGCCCTGGACACCCACTGCACTGAGAAGAGAGCTGGGCAATCACCCCCCACCCCCGCCCCCCCCCCCACACACACACACACACGCACAACTTTGACCTATGGACTCAGGATGCAGGTACGCCTACACACGCATACATATACCCCAGCGCAAACATGTTCAGGTGTTCAGGCCACACACACACACACACGTGTTGTCACCTCCCATAAACAGTCACATCACCCAGGCGCTCTCCCAAGCCAACCGCACAAATGGTGACACTCACACGCAGGGATAAGGAAACCTGGGCCAACTTGGGTTTGAAATTCATTCCAGCTCTGGCTCTCCTCCAGGCCTATTGGGCCTTGGCCCTTGCTCCTCCCCCAGGGCTTTCCCTGCAGAGCGCTGGGCAGAGGCACCTGAGGGTGCTCCATGCCCAGGCTGGGAGCCTGAACCGCCATCGGCTCAGTCTGGGCTTCTGGAACCCAGCCCCCTCCCTGAGGTGATTCCATGGAAAATGTCCAGCTGTGGTTGCTGCAGAGATGAGCTCAGCCAGTCTGAGTGGGGCTGGGGGCCTGGACTCAGCGTCAGAGTTTCCACCTCGGACCTTACCCCTCCTCCCGCCCCCACATACCACCCCGGGGACTCGGCAGCAGGAAAGGGGCCAAGGGACTTCTGGAGCCAGCGTCAGCATCTCCGCCCTGGATGGGTTTGGAGGAGGAGGGATGACACCGAGTGGAGAGAGCAGAGGAGCAGGAAGCAAATGAGCCACCCGCTGGTTCTTGCACCCCTACGCACCCTCTTCAGGAAAAGGAGTCCCCAGGAGAGAGATACTGGCCAGCAGGGTGCTGCCCCCCTAAGCGGCGAGGGTGGGAGGCGAGCCAGCCAGAGACAGATAGCGGCAAGGATCCCAGAGTGATAACGGACATAGAAAGTTGGGGTCTCACTGCAAAGGCAGTGGGGAGCAGAGCAGGTGACCTGCAGGCTGCCAGCCCAGTCTACACTGCCTCCCATTGGCCAGCGGGGAGTCCTGACCCCATTGGGGGCAGGTTGTCCCCCCAGCCTGGACCCAAACCTGCATCTCCTGCTCTACCTGACTCCAGCCCTCTGCCTCTCCCACATTCCTTTCCCTCTGCCCCAGCTCTCCTCTCTCCCACCGCCTCTCCCGGCTGCCTTCCTGCTCCCTCCACCCCTTCTTTCTCTGCACCCACCACTCCTGGTGCTCGCTCCCCCACCACTCTGCCTGTTCTCTTTCTGGGGCCTCTCTACCCTCCACTCTGGTTTAAGTCTCCTTCCTAGACCACCTGGCCCTGCTTCTCCCTCCTTATTACCCCCCAGCATGGCCCATGGAACTTTGTGCGTAGTTGGCACTCAAAAATGCGCGCTGGATTGGACCAAGCGCACTTACCACGTGCCTTGCAGTCCTGGGCATCTCAGCGTGGACAGATGCTGATGGGTTAGTTGGTTGGCGCCATGGAAGGTTTGCAGCTGAGAAGTAATATCATCAGGCCTTGGTTTAAGAAAATGCATTTGCCTGCAGTGAGCAAGGCCTTGCAGGGGGAGCCGCGGGGGATG